CGCTTCAGTCAGGTCACATAACCTCCCCAGCAGCCAGCTTAAGTGTAGAGGAGAGAGCAATGACAATGGTGACATCATGTTTGGTTATGGAACAGTGGAAAGTTGGAGTAAAACCCCCGAGACCCTTCTGTTGATAGAGATTGGGCCTTTGACACCTTTGTCCAGAAATTCTGATAAGGCCTGATATAATCTGCTCACAGACTTGAAGATGTCTATCAACACCAAGGCCCTCCATGCGACTCCCAGTCCACACACAAAGTGAGAGCTAAAGCAAAAAATGAAGAGGAGCAGGGGACGCAACTCGAGTTCATAGCCTGGGACACCATTACATCCAGATATCTGGGATAGTTGTCCAAGCCTCCAAAAAAAGGTCAAAAGATATTCCTCTACGCTGGAAAGAGGGGGCACGCCGTCATGTCATGGAAAGCTTGTCTGAGTATTTGGCAGACCTAGAATGCCAGATAGTGTGGGTGGATGGGGAGTCAAGTTAGGAGAGCCTTGGCACTGAAATAGAGGAAGTGGAGAAACAAAACGTATGATTCTTGAAGTTCAGAGAGCGAGTCGGCCTCTTAGGCTTCTTTCATTGTGGAACAAGGATCCAGTAGCATGTTTTTTTAAAAAGCATCGGCATCTAAAGCTTAAGAGTCCAGCAGATTAAATGCGTCTTACAACATAGTTCTGCAGACAAGTGAAAGAAGCCAGAAGGCCTCTAGCAAGTTATCACAGCAGAAATGTGATGACACTGCCATTGGCTCAACGAGTTTAAATGAGCAGAGGATCAGCAGCAGCGGTGGTTAGATCCCTAGGGATTTTGAACAGTCATACAAGGTTTGAAAAACTAAAATCACAGTGAGAATCAGGAGGGAAGCAGCTGAATGGAAGAGTGGATTAGCTGTCCTATATGAACCAAGGCTGGAAACAGTACAGTTATAGGCAACAGGCTGATTCTTTAGATTCAGGGCGGTGTGCACTGCATTAATAAGAACTGAAACAGTCTCTTTTAAAGCGGATCTTCACCCTATATATATATATATAAAGCTCAGCGGCTAAGTGGTTAGCACTTCCACCTAGCAGCACTAGGGTTGCCGGTTTGAATCCCAACCATGACACTGCCTGCCTGGAGTTTGCATGTTCTCCCTGTGCCTGCGTGGGTTTTCTCCAGGTATTCTGGTTTCCTCACACACTCCAAAAGACATGCTGGTAGCTTCATTGGATCCTGTGTAAATTGGCCCTAGTATATGTATGTATGAATGTGAGTTAGGGATATTCGATTGTAAGCTACTTGAGGGCGGGGACTGATGTGAATGTACAATATACATGTCAGACACAGCATAAATTGACGACGCTACATAAGAACCTGTAATAAATATATGCATAATAATAAGTTCTCCTCTCTGCACCCCTCCTCTACACAAACAGGGCTGTTTTTTTTTAAACTTGGCAGCCGGTCCCCTCCATGCACATCACTTGCCTATGCATGTGACATGCATTTCCCAGGAGGCATTTAGTCTTTCACTGAGTAGGAGGGGGGGCAGGCCTAGCGGTGCAGCATCTCGAGGCCCCTCAGCTGAACCAGGTAGAGCCTCTTGATGATGTCAAAAGATGGCGGCGTGGGCCTGAGCAGTGTTTATTGACAGAAGGATGTCAGCAGGTCAACGCTGGATCTGGGGACTGGGTGAGTATCCAAACTGTTCAGATATTGCCTGCAGGTAAGCAGGGGTATAGAAATAAAAAATTAAAAAGGAGGTAGGCTGAAGGTCCTCTTTAACTCAGGAGTAACAGCAGTAGACTGACTCCTCAGGGGAGGAGCTCACCAGACAGTGCAGAGCAAGGCCATGTAAGTCAGTATAAGGGAAAAGATCACACAAGGAGTCCACAGGCAATACTAGTGATTTGTCCTTTGCCCTCTGTTTGTCTTTTTGGGCACATTTCCACAGTCCCCTTTAAAGTAAACTACAAAGGTCCTCATTGCATACAAGTGGTGTACAAACAGGACCCTTCACTGCAACAGCATGTGTCTTTGCTATAGGGCAGGGGTGGGCAACTGTGGCCCTCCAGCTATTGTCCAATGAGGCATTGCAAAACTGACAGTTACAAGCATGACTCCCAAAGGCAGAGGCATGATGGGACTTGTAGTTCACCCCTGTTAACCACAGTTGCCCACCCCTGCTATAGGGGATTAGAGCAGGGATAGCATTGGCCACATGACCAAGGGTTTAAAAAATTAATTGGCTTTAAACAAATCTACGAATTTTATAGTGTCCGCATTGATATTTTTTCCTAAGGGGTTATGTGCAACAACCTCATACAATACATTTTCATTTTTACAATTCACTTTTTCGTTTATCTAAATCTCTCAATTTGTACCAGATGGAAAGGAGTCCATGTAAAACAGTACAGTTAAGCAGGCACCAAGTGATCTTATTTCTATTTTCTAGGGAAACGTTATTTTTATTTTTCCTAAGAGTGACTTTTTACCTTGCAGACAGTGGTGATTTCCTCCCGAGTCCGATGGCCCCCAGAATCCCTGACGTCATCCTCTCCTCTCCCAAAAAGCCAAGTTTAGTCTGAAGGGACAGTAGTGTTCTTATGACTGTATCTGTCACTGTGCTGTCATTCTGCTCCACCTGGATCAAAGATAGCTGGAGAGTTTTGTGGAACCACAGGAAGAGTTTGGGCTCCTCATTCGAAGAACTACAGGAACAGAAACAACTGCATTAGACTACATTTTATATTTTTGTATATTTTGTATAAAATGCAAACACTCTGAAACTGTAATCTAAAATAGTACAAGCATGCATACTTGCAAAATCTTGTGTTAACTTCTGCATTATCCAAATTTTTTTTTTGTTATCCATATGCCATCTTGCACAATCTGCTACAATACCTTTCCTTAGTATTAATTGAAGGTGATGAAGGAGTTGCTGCTGTTTGAGAAAAGTGATGTAGTTATTCCTTCACAGGGAGATCTATGTAGGAACTATTTTCTTTGCTAGAAACTGTGCATATACTAATAGGGTGGGTCCATCCCCACCCCTATCCCAATTCTATCCTGTTCTTTTATCAACCACTTGTTACTTGTTTTACTACATGCTGCTGTCAATCAAATAAAAAGTCAGAACACAGGTCTGAGAACTGGGCTGGGGAGAGACACATTGTTCTGTGCAGTGATGGTCTCTACCCCTTACCCAACATAGGAGGATAATGACATATCTGGAGGGAAGTGTGGAAAGCCTGTCACCTCTGAGCTCCTATAGGAAAATATTTAATTATTTTGGGTAAAAATCTCAAAATAGGAAAACAGGACTATTGTGGTGTTGACACAATATACATAGACAGATGCCTACCTTGGCTGTACTTGCTCCAGCCACTTGGAGATCTTCACCAGCACCCTCAGCTCATTGGGCAGGGTTTGTTCTCGGTTTAAAACACTGCAGGACATAGACGTGGAGTGTCAGGTAGCTGCCGAGAGTCAGGCATTCCTGCAGAAACTCCTCGGTGGTGAGCTCCGGCACTTGCAGGGATGCCAGGATTGGACCCCAGCCTGGGTTCTGGTTATGAAGCGTGTCTATAAAAAGGGAAAAAAAAATGGCAGCACTCACATGTCTGTTGCCAAAATCCAAACAAATGTGTTTTAAAGTAGCTACAGCAACTGGAAATTATACACCATAGTGAGATTACAGGGCCAGTGCACCCAAATATTTTATCTAGTTTAAGACTGGGGGAGGCTAAATCTGACCCTCAAATTCTTATATGTCTTTCATATTCATATTTGGGGCAGCACAATAGCTTAATGGTTAGCACTACCGCCTGGCAGTACTAGGGTCGTTGGTTCGAATCCCAGCCACGGCACCACCTGCGTGGAGTTTGCATGTTCTCCCTGTGCCTGCGTGGGTTTCCTCCGGGTACTCCGGTTTCCTCCCACTCTCCAAAGACATGCTGGTAGGTTAATTGGATCCTGTATAAATTGTCCCTAGTATGTGTATGTATGAATGTGAGTTAGGGACCTTAGATTGCACACCCCTTGAGGGTTAGGGACTGATGTGAATGTACAATATATATGTGTAAAGCGCTGCGTACATTGACGGCGCTATATAAGTACCTGAAATAAATACTAAATAATAATAAATAATATTCCAACAACAAGATCTCTCTGCCATGATTCCTAACTTTTTTCTGCACACCTGAGAGTTTCGGAGCCCCTGATCACATTTATGTGTTCCAGCTCCTGCTGCATTCTCCACCACAGTAAACAAATATAGCAGGGAGAGTGGGAGCTCCTCATAATGGTCATAGCAAGTATGCAGACCTGGGAACTCACCAACAGAGTCCCTGAAAGATACAACAAATTGAGGTTCATCACTCTAGCATCTAGCTAAGTGAGTAGAATAGGCTAGAACCAAGCAGAATGCCCCATAAGTCCATCAGCAGGAAAACAACCTGCAAGCAGCTGGCCACCAAAGCCAACTGCAAGCCTGCCAGAGGAATGGAAAAGCCTAACCGCTACTGGCACGGTGCTGTGGGCTCTCCGAGAGATATGACGCTAACAGAAATCCACAGAGCCACTCATATGAAAGCTGTCCTTCCAGCGACTCATATGGGAAGAATGAAAACCGGTATATAGACACTTCACCTTCCTGCATAACAACTCCCCTCAGTGCTCAGACTCTGAGGCTGGCGATACCTCTATAGCATGTAGGTCACAGGAAAGATGGTCGGCACTCAGGATGGTATCCAAAAATAATTTTCCTTTATTGAAAAAGCATGGTCAATGACTGTAAACCAGGCAATGCATTTCAGCCATCGGGCCTTTGTCAAAATGTTGGCTGTTTTACAATTCTTCAAGTGGATGGCATTCCGAGTGCCGACCATCTTTCCTGTGACTCATTAGGGAAGAACTGCGTTTCCATAGCTCTGTTAAGGAGGCTTCAGAGGCTTATCTCATAGGGCTCTTCAAAGACACCAACCTTTGCGTCATACAGGCCAAGTGGTTCACCATCATGCCCATGGACATATGGCTGGCATGCAGTATTAATGGGGAGGGGGCACAGAATATATCACCATCTGCCCCTTATTTACTCTAAATTCTACCAAATACAGGAAGATGGTTGGACAAACCTTTGAAAAATAATTTATTACCTTTTGAAAGTCCACTCGGAGTAAATGAACTAGTTCTTTGGAAAGTTTGGCTTACCATCCTTGAAGTAGGAGAGGATACAGGCTTCGGTGGCCTCTGCCATATGTTTGATGGAGGCCAGGCTCTGACAAGCTGCAGTCAGCAGAGGCATGACCATCAGGCCTTGTACTTTAGAGTCAATCCACTGTATCAGGGCCCCTCGTAGTGACTCAGCTGTGGTCACGCTGGCATTGTTCATTAACATCAGAAGCTCCATGAAGAGACTGCTCACTGCCATGTGCCGCTTTTGCATCTCCAGATCTGAAAGATAGCCAGGGTTACGTGACTCCATGGTCAGACAGCTTTGTTATGTTCAGTAAATATAAAAGTAAATATTGACTAAAGCATTTAAAGTGGACCTGAGCTAAAAAGTGGTGATTTTCTATTGCAGTGAACATCAAGAAAGGTTAATTATGCCTAAATTGTACCCTAAAAAAATCTACCTTTTGCATTGAATTTCTTCTGGAAAATAGCAGCCCACTCCCTGTGCTTAGGTAGTTCTGTTCTGTGGCCTTATAGCACTATATCTGCAGTGTGAGATCATCTAAGGCACTAATGCCTCTGAATGCTAGTCTTGATTTGGTGTCAATCACTGTTCACTAGATGGAGAAGACGCTGTACCTAAGGACTTGCAGTGCAAGGATCTCTTTGCTTCATTTATTCTCAGAATCAGTGCTTCCTTTATTTATCATGCTGCTTCCCAATTATCCCCTACCAGTCATCAGAGCACAGCTCTACCATGAGGAGGCAAAGTCCTTCCTCTACCAAGATGGCTGCCTACACTTACAGGTAAAAGTGCAGAACAAGACATGGTAAGTTCGTAATGGGGAAAAGATCAGTTGTAGGGAGCTCAGGGGCAATACTGGTGACTAGTCCTTTGCTTGTATTTTTTTGGGCACAACTTTCACAGTACAGGTACATTTTAAAGGACACGTAACCTACAATAGTAACCAGCAAAGGACCCTTTTGCTTCACATTTTGAGTTCAGGCCCACTTTATATTAAAAAAATAGATTATGTAGCATTTTATTTATTAATCTTCAGTAAAAAGAACTTTTCCTTTAAGAACCAGGGAATAAGCATTGAACTCACCTGGTGGACTGAAAATGGCAATATCATCCAACAACTTGGACATCTCTTGCTCTAGGGCTGAAGTGCTGATTTTGTTGCTCTGCTCCAAAGAGCCCAGAAACTGAACCATCTGCTGTACGAATATCCGACACTTGGGAGTCACATCCTAGAGATGAGTGATGACAACAATACACAGTGAATGGACCAAACTTACTTGCATGGTAGGGAAATCGTTCCCTTTACTAACTAACCCTTCCTTCCTTTTGTACCCCTTCCAGCGTCATGACACAGGCAGAGCACGTGTACCCACTACTCATACCTTCTGTTCTCTAATAGATAGCAAGCTCTAAGGAACAGAACCCTCATACCTCTTATTCTCTGTTTGATAGTAAGCTATAAAAAAAAAAAAAAAAAAAGTAGACTAAACTATAATGAGCAGGACCCTTATACCTCCTCTGTTCAGTATACAAAAAATATCACACTGAAACACAAACACATTCAGAGCAGAGTTCTGCCTTAAAGTTTATTGTATAGTGGATCATCAAAAGCAATGGAATAGCATCCTACAGATATGCTTCCTTGATGCTACCCTCAGATCGAAAAATCTAGTAGGAAACTGTAAAAAGAGCACACAGGAGGGCACACACACCTAGTGCATTACCGAAGGTTTATTGTATAAAATAAAAACATACAGACAAATGAAAACTCACCAAAACTGAATGTATACAGTCATGGCCAAAAATATTAGCACCCCTGCAATTCTGTCAGATAATACACCTATCCTCCCAGAAAGTTGTTGCAATTACAAATGTTTCAGCGTTCTCATGTTTATTTCTCTTGTTTGTATTGGTCTGACACAAAAAAGTGGAGAGAAACAAAAAGCCAAAACTGACACATTCCATGCAAAATCCCAAAAATGGACTGGACAAAATTATTGGCACCCTCAAGTTAATATTTGGTAGCACACCCCGTTGGAAACAATAACTGAAATCAAAGGCTTCCTGTAACCATCAATGAGTTCCTTACACCTCTCTACTAGAATGCTGGACCACTCTGCTTTCGCCAACTGCTCCAGGTCTCTCAGATTGGAAGGGTTCCTTTTCCCAACTGCTGTTCTGAGATCTCTCCACAGGAGCTCTATGGGATGGAGATCTGGATTCATTGCTGGCCAGTTCAGTACTCTACAGTGCTTTGTCTGAAACCATTTCTGGGGGCTTTTTGACATGTGCTTTGGGTCATTGTCCTGCTGTAAGACCCATGACCTCTGACAGAGACCCAATTTTCTGACACTGGGCCCTACATTGCACCCCAGAATTCTTTGGTAGTCTTCATCTTCAGATTTCATAATGCCATGCACACAAGCAAGACATCCAGTGCCTGAAGTAGCAAAGCAACCCCGAAACAACCACGTTTGACTGTAGGGACTGAATTCTTTTCTTTAAAGGCCTCATTGCTTTTTCTGAAAACAGTAGAATGATGGGTTTTACCAAAAACCTGGAATTTTGTTTTGTCTATCCACAGCACATTCTCCCAAAAGGATTTTTCCTTCCTCGGGTACGTTTTGGCAAGCTCCAAACTCGTTTTTCTATGTTTCTGTGTCACCAGTGGGGTCCTCCTGGGTCTCCTACCATAGGGTCCCTTTTCCATTCAGTTGGCAACGTATAGTGTGAGCTGACACCGTTGTACCCTATGCCTGAAGGTCAGCTTGAATTTGTCTGGAGGTTGATTGAAGTTCTTTAGCCATCATTCCAACAATCCTTTTTTGCAATCTTTGATCAAGTTTTCTCTTTTGTCCACATCCAGTGAGAGAAGTTACAGTGCCATGGGCTGTAAACCTCTTGACAATGTTGCGCACAGTGGACACAGGAACATTAAGATCTCTGGAGACCTTGATATTGTCCATTCTTATCCAAAATTTTTGTTCTCAAATCCTCAGACAATTCTTTGCTGCTCTTTCTCTTCTCCACGCTCCATGAGACACACAACAGAAAGATTGAGTAAAATTTTCACCATTTTAACTGGTTGCCGGTGTGATTTCTATATTGTCAGCACCTGGTAAGTGATACAGGTGAGTTTAATTCAAATCTACAGGAGCATCACAAACTTGGAATGCAATTATTTCTTACAATTCTGAGAAGGTGCCAATAGTTTTGTCCAGTCCATTTTTTGAGTTTACATGGAATGTGTCAGATTTGGCTTTTTGTTTCTCCACATTTTTGTATCATACCAATAAAAACAAAAGAAATAAACACGAGAATGCCGAAACATTTGTAATTGCAACAATTTTCTGGGAGAAGTAGTACATTATCGAACAGAAATGCAGGGGGGCCAATATTTTTGGTCATGGCTGTACAAGCAAGGTATTACACTAAATCTCAATCCAGTTTGGGAATAGCATGGCCAAACACACCCTGACACTGCACTGGCAAGCTGACATTTCAGGAGATGCACCCCCTTCTTCAGAGCTCTTCTGCATCGCTTGTATACATTCATTTTTGTGACTATCCATTTGGATCTATATTTCTATTTCATACAATAAACCTTCAGTAATGCACTACGCATGTGTGCCCCCCTGTGTGCTCACATACTATGGGGCATGTGTGCCCCCCCTGTGTGCTCACATACTATGGGGCATGTGTGCCCCCCTGTGTGCTCACATACTATGGGGCATGTGTGCCCCCCTGTGTGCTCACATACTATGGGGCATGTGTGCCCCCCTGTGTGCTCACATACTATGGGGCATGTGTGCCCCCCTGTGTGCTCAAATACTATGGGGCATGTGTGCCCACATACTATGGGGCATGTGTGCCCCCCCGTGTGCTCACATACTATGGGGCATGTGTACCCCCCTGTGTGACCCTCATACTTCCTGTTCCCTATCACAGTGTACATTGTAATGAGTAGAACCCTCATACCTGTTCCTTATTAGATTGCCTGTACTTTCCTATATACTTTTGGCCACATACTCTGGCCAGCTCAGTAGATTGCCTTAAAAAAGTCCTGGAATCTTTCTTGGATACACAGAATATAACTGGATATAACATTTATAGGTAAAGTTGATCCAGGGAATATCCGAATGCCTCTCGGGGGATCATGAAGGAATTTTTTTCCCTGCAGGAGCAAATTGGCTCATGCTTTGCTGATTTTTTTTTTTTGCCTTCCTCTGGATCAGGGGTGGCCAACCTGCGGCTCGCCAGCTGCTGCAGGACTACAAGTTCCATCATGCCTCTGCAAGTCAGTAACTTCCCATCTTTGCAATGCCTCATGGGAAATGTAGTTCCACAACAGCTGGAGAGCCACAGGTTAGCCACCCCTGCTCTGGATCAACTGTGGGTATAGGATTACAATTTTTTTTTTTTTAATGGGTGAACTGGATGGACTTTTGTCTTTTTTCAGCCAGACTATGCATGTAACTTTTCCCTATAGATTGTAAGGGACCCTCATACATATGTTAACATGCCTGAAGTTAATACATTCTATTGGCCTCAATTCTGTCCATCATAATGCAATAACATGGGAATGCATCTAGCATTAACGCACATTAATAATAATAATAATAATAACATTAAGGAGCTTTTGAGGGCTCTTTTATGCTCAAAAGCTCCTCTCCTGAACACACAAAGTTTTTTTTTCTGCCTCCTAACTCCCCTGCCACTAAACTGAAAAGGTCTACAGTGTGCATGGACTTACATAGGCTAACAGAGAATGAATAACTCAAACGCCTGTAGAAGCAGCTTTTTTTGTGCTGCAGTGTGCATGAGGCCTTAACCCCTTCACATCTAAGGGTAAAACAAATCTTAATGCCTAAGCACAATTTTGCAACGTTGACATGTGTTAA